ACAATCTTATCCAAAATGGTGGTAGTCATTGCGAACAATGAACCTCAAAATTTTCGGCGCCCAGGCCCTTGCAGGGTTTTGAGATGTTTCAGGAAAAGAATGAAGATATTGAAACATCATGAAACCTTGAAATGGTTCACAATTTCATGATGGTGGTTGATTGAAGCCAATGATTAAATATGTATACACTCCAGCGCTCCTCAAGGACTCAAGGCGCGCATTGACCGTCACTGTGACCATAAAAATTGTGATTTTGGGGATGGTTTGTTTTTTGGGTTTACCACATTATCATCTTCCATAAGAATAGTAATGGATCAAGCATCCATAAATCCATCAAAATTCATCGAATCCACCGAATATTTAAACACCCCCCAGAAACCATGTGTTGTTTTTTTTTGTTGGGATTTACGCTAATATTCGGTACCATTTACGGGATGTTAATTAATGGGATAATATTGGGGGATGGGATTGCCAAGTTAAACGGCAAAAATATGTGGGTTTCTGTAAATTTTGTAAAGCTTCTATGGGCTTCTCCAGCAAGTATATGGTAATTTGGCACACCAAAACTAGCTTCTCCGAAAACGTAAGATCTCCAGCCTATGTCGCAAAACATTGCTTACGCTAGACCTTACGCGACCTGCTCACGCGATGCTCAGTTTTGACTTACGCAGTCATGTACATAAAATGACTTAGGCAAAGCTTACGCTGACAGGTTTGACTTCAAACGCACAGGAACTGCTTACGCCAGCATTAGGCACAGCTTACTCCTGAGGTTTGGCTTACGAAACCCAGAGTTTTGCTTACGCGACCCAGTCATATGACACAATTCTTCTGAAAGTGTATTCAAGGGGGGTTCTGACGATGCTCTCTGACGTGGCTCGAAATTTCGGACTGAAGCCAGGTTGACGCATCATCTTGAGGCTCTGCAACCAAAAACAAATCCAATGAATTCTGTTCAAAAGTGGGGGGATAGATGCTTTAAAATGCTTTAAAATGCTTTCAATACATAGAACTGTCCGCAAAATGGAGGAAACCAACAAAAAATAGATGCAGACCATGATCACTTGGCAATATGGTCAAGGACAGCCTCCGCAAGCGGAGTGCCCTGAAAAGCCCTGAGACTCCCGGCCACGAGTCCATAGCCCTCCTTGTTGTTGAGTGCTGCTTCCTGGGTCTGCATAGCCATGGCAGCCATGTGCCAATCCCTTTGGACAATGGATCATCGACATATCAGTATTCAAACGATGACCATTCCTGTTACTGTAATATACATTAATATACTACAGTATATTACTATTGTTTATTATTATTACAATTTGAATTACTACTATAATTCCTGTTGCTATTGTAAATGGCACCATCTGCCCCACTGAGAAGTCCCAGCCAACATCCGACAGAACTCCGCATCCTGCCATGGTGGTGGGAACATGGCTATGGTGACACAACAGTGTTTAAGTTAAAATTTGATACCAAACAGAACTTGAACGGCCTACCACAAACATGAACCTGATGTCAATGCGTTTGATTTTTTTCGCGTGTGGATCCATATGGTCCCCATATATATATATATTATTATTATTATATATTATATTATATTATATATTATATTATGTGATTTTATGTAATATTATATATATTATATTATGTTATTTTATATTATATTATCTATATATATATTATTGTGTTATTTTATATTATATTATATTATATTATATATATATAATATATATATATAATATATATAATATAATATATATAATATATAATATATATATATAATATAATATATATAATATATATAATATATTATATATAATATATAATATATAATATATAATATATAATATAATATATATATATAACAAATATAACATATATAACATATATAACATATATAATATATAATATATATAATATATATATAATATATAATAATATATATATATAACATATATAATATATAAAATATATAGTGTATATACATATATATGAAAATCTCAAAACGGACCTGGACTAGTTTTCATACTTTCAGCAAAAATAATTTGGAGACATCGGAGAATCGGATGTTGACTTTTTCGACAGTTCTGGCTGCAGATCTCTGCCTCGGGTTCACTGCGAGACGGCCCACCTGGTTCGGAAGTGCCATGGATGGTCGATCTGCATGCTTTGGGATATGCAAATCATTTTAGACATCCCCAAGGGTTTCTTTATATATGGGAAATGATCTGCAAATGGGTTAGTTTACTGAAGAGTCCCCAATCCTCATAGGTCTAAAATGGTCTAAACAATGGAAATGTCCAAACCATTTATTTTCGAAACGCTCATTCCACACATTTGGCGCCCTGTCACCTTCAGGTATGACAAGGCTTTGTGCCAAGGCGGGCTGCTGGGCGCTGCTGCCTGCCATAAAGCCAGTAAATTTTCCCTACTAGGATGCTCCTGGAAGTCACAAAACTGCTTGAAAACTGGCTTATTGACTTATTTCATGATTATTCTGGTCCATGAACCATCACAAACCCTTGTAACTGGCATGTTGGATATCTGGAAGCCACGAGATGCTAGGAGTGATGGTGACGTGATGAGCCCAGCAATCCAAGCATATAAAGATATCATAAAGACCAGTTCTCTAATCGGGAGAAATACCTGAAATTACTTGCCACTTCAAAGGGTTACATGTTATAAACCTGCATATATATATATATATAGATTGCTTTAATTTGCAAATAGGCTTTTTGTTAGCATGACCATTTTTCCCATTAAGTTTTTCTACCAGTACCCATTTTCGGACCCAGATTACACTCAGTCAAAACCCTCTGGTGGACCATGGCCATCTGCCTGTATGCTCCACCAAGGGAGCCAATGGCCGGGGCAAACGCTTCTCACTGACGCTACGCGCCTGAGATCCAAAGATGCCAGAGATGGAAGTGGAGAAAAAACACAGCCAGAACGATTCCTGCAAATATCAATGGACTGGTTTAAGGGAAAATCTACAGGAAACCATGGTTTTTACCATCAAATATAGGGGTTTCCTGTAAATTTTCCCATCATCCAATTCTATGAAAATATGATTTGAAAATATTTGAAATGTATTGAAGATTTATTGAAGCATCTTGAACCTACCAGCCTTACCAGCCATTCTTTTTTTGCCGGGTGGTTGTTTTCGGGGTCAACGCCCCGAGGCGGGCGTGGTTTTTTCCACGTTTGTGCTTTTTGGCAGTATACGTGTTGAACGCTCTTGCCGACTGTAAGATGACGCTACCGAAGACACGTTGCCCAACTTTGTTGCTGACGTCTTGCTACCTTGACCGGGAGGGGGGGTGGGGGGGGATGATAACGTTCCTTTCGACTGTAAGATGACGCTACCGAAGACACGTTGCCCAACTTTGTTGCTGACGTCTTGCTACCTTGACCGGGAGGGGGGGTGGGGGGGTGGGGTGGGGATGATAACGTTCCTTTCGACTGTAAGATGACGCTACCGAAGACACGTTGCCCAACTTTGCTAGGTTCATTTACAACATACATTTATCAAAACGCGTGTTTTTATATACATGTATGTTTACATGTTTATATATATATATATGTGTGTAAAGGGTATTTAAAATATCTATGTATTCATGTCTCAAGCAGATGTTGCGGAATTGCAAAAGTTTTTTTTGGCATTTTGACATCTTGCAGCAAAGGTCAAAACATCATAGATCACAAGCATAAAACACTGCAAATTACAGTGTAAAAAGGTGATTTTTGATTCAATCACCAAGTACACAATTGTAGAAAACCCACACCCGCCTCAAGGCGGTGTTCCCTTGTTTTCCAAGACGTTCAACATCTACGTCAGGCATCTCCCATGTCCCAAATAGCCACCTTTTTTTCTTTTGCGGGTGTTTTTTTTTCCTGTTTATCACCGAAAACGTTGAATCAATGAGTGACATCTTCCAAATCAGCCAGCCAGTCAGTATCGAGCACACCTTGGTGTTCACTCCAGGTCGCTCCTTAGCCGATCGAGCGAATCGAGAGCGTGAGAAAAAACGAATTTGCACTGCTTGGCAGCACGGAAAAGTTTCCTGTAACTCATCACTAGATTCATTTGTGCAATATATATATATATATTAATATATATATATATTAATATATATATGTACACATATATATATACATATATGTATAGGCCACATATTTTTATGCGTAGATTTGGTTTGGGGGCCAGCGAAGCAAATTCTGCAAATTTGTTCATTAGGGATTCTTCAAGTCAAGACAGTCAATTTATTTCTGCGATTCATCCGATGCTATGTGCCAAAAATTGGCTTCTTGGGCAATCATTTCCATCCTCAAACGCGCCAGCGCATCATCACTGGGCACCAGCCGCCATCTCAATCCGGGAAACCCAGGGCATCGACCTGGTTGCACCGCAAGACTTTGATGTTCGTCCATGGATGTCCACGGAGACACCAGATGGTTTCAATATGTTTCAATCTTTTTCATTACCATAAATGATCAAATGAGTCTTCTCACCAACCAATTTCAAACATTGAAGCTGCCATCCAAGTTCCCAGGCCCATTCAAAGGTGTGAGAAACGATCCACCTGGTGCCTCGGTGACATGAGGTGAAACCTAAGTGAGGTGACATGGAATAATTCGAATAGCCCGTTTTCAAGTATATCAACAGTATATCATAGTATACCAACAGTATATCAACAATATATCATAGTATATCCAGTCGTCATGGACTCATGGATGACCAGGACGATGACCAGGACGACTGGAAAAAGAAACAAGCATGGTGACGACTGGAAGCCCATTGAAAAAGAACCCCCCCATAGTCAGAGAAACCATAGATCTAATTCCACCGTCACCAGAATATCATCTTTGATCACAAATCGTTGACCATGTCTTTGATCTACTTTAGTATTTTGAAACAATAAACCTGCAAGAAATTTTGGGGAACCCGGAAAATCATCTACTCCGCCTGTTTCACCGCAATCTTTCACCATCTTTGGGCGAAGCTATGGCAGTGGAAGCCGGAGGTCTGCACTCAGGGCATTCTGCGCCTTCCGAAACTCCTGGCGAACAACAAAAAAAGGTTCGAAAGGTGAAACAAAAACTAGACACACTAAATTACTATAATTCCTTCACTACTTCTATGATCTTCGATGTAACAATAGTTACCACATGACAACTGGGGTACACAGTTGGAAGGGTTCTCCCTTTAAATCAGCCAGTGACGCTCTTAAGCACAAATTTTGGAGATTGCAGTGGCATGTTGTCTTTTAATTGTCCAGGTGGTGAAAAGACACAAGAAAACACGTCACCATGCAGGAAAATCCTCAAACGAGAAACCCATGATTGCCTACTACACAGTTGAGCAGTTTGGGTGTGGCTGAATGTTTTCCCAACAACTTCCGAATTTTCTCATGAAATCAGCTTCCTGCTACAAATGAACCCAGCCTGAGTTGACATCACCTGGCAGTGCGAAAGTTTGAGGGTAGGGGTTGGGTCAAACTTGGGTGTCCACGAAAGGGGGAAACCAATTGCAACACCTTGCTGATATCGATCTTGGTTTCGATGCGGACACCCAGTTGGCGTGGCTAATATCGTCCAATCAGCTCCACTTGTTTGCGAGCCCTTGGCTCAACCAAAAATACGAGTGCCATGGCTACTCAGAAAATGGATATATAGTGGAACAAAAAGTTGATTGGGTGAAAGTAAGGTTCAAACTTCCGCCTGGTTGAAGAGAACCTTGCATACTTACAGGAATTTCCCCTATTTCACAGAAATTCACCAACAAACTCTCCCACGTCATAGATTCGTGGCCACTTGGTGGGTAAGAATCTCCAGCTATCAATCTGGGATCAACACGCCTGAAGCGTTCATACAGTAAATCACTTCTTGATGGATTTTTTATCCCTTGATTATGATGTTCTTCCAATTTACTGCTGTTTTTCCTGCATAACCCATCAGACCCATGAGACCCATCAGGGTTTGGGCAAGCCATCAGTAGAAACGGCCCATCTTTCGAGAGTCATTAGAGGTTGATTGAACCATCCCATATTGCCCATATCCCTAGAAGGGTTTAGCAAGATAATCACCAAGATCAACTGTGATATTCGGAATAGTATTGCTGCATCATCACCAGTCTGGTTCATACATGTCACATATATATATATATATAAAAGGGGTTCTATCATCACCAATCATCTACATCCAATTATTTTAACAGGCGTCTATCCCACTAAAAATAATAGGGATCCAATTGCATCCCTGAAAAATCATCCCTTATCCAATGGACCACAAAAGACCTACCCTCCGGTTTTTTCAAACGTGGCTTTTTTGAGAATCCCCGAAGTAAATTGGGGTTTATAACTGGGAAAACCAACTATAAGTGGGACATTTTCTCCAGCAAACATCAGCAAACCAGGTTTGATTATCAGAAGGTATGTTTGGTTATTATGTTCCATGATATCCCCATGATATTCCCATTGATATTCCATGAATATCCCATCATTGTCAAAAATTCCCATGATCTTCCCATCATTATCCCAGAAAATCATTCCACATTCAGATTCCACTAAATCATCCCATCATTATCCCATTGAAAACCCATTGAAAACCAATATTTTTTCTGCTTCACTGCCATGATATTCCCATCATATCCCCATCCCAAATGGGGATGATCCCCCAGAATCCAGAGACAAAGTGGGGCCTTGTCCAAGGTGCTCCTCTGAGGTGCCGCAGCAGAGTCGCAGCCAAACTGCGCCTTGCGGCCCACTGGAGATTTATTTTTCACTTTTCATGAGATGGAGATGAATCCCATTCGTAATCCACACAGATCTTCACAGATCTTCATTTATTCGTAATCCAGTTTTCATGATTTTTTGATGGAGATTTATGGATCTGTGTGGATTACTATTTGGAGATGGGAATTCACTGGTTTAGTACGAAGGGGAGAAACTCAAGGCGATATAAACTCCAATTTTTACTTACTATTTGGAGATTATGTTTACCCATAAATTATTAGTTGTGGGGATGGTTCATTATTGGGTTTACCATATTACTGATCCATTCCCCATGTTGATCCAGTTGTTCCATTTGGATGGGCACTAAAACATTCTAAAACATATTAAAACCCACACTCAAGAAAGGGGGTTGTATTGAGTTCACCTGAATGATATGGGACATTGTCCTCATGACTGGGATCCCAAAATGAACCGCAGACTGAACACGGCGTTCGTTTGAGATATTTGAGAATAATGGGGAAAAAGGATGAAAAAGAATGAGAAAGGATTACAATAAACATACACAACAAAATACATCGAACATCATCGAACCATGATCAAAAATGGGAAAGTTGCCACAGAAAATGAGAATCTATCGCAAGAATGAGAATGTCTGGAACGTCGATCGTCAGAAGGATATGGAAGGATCAGAACCTTGAAAAAACGCATGCTCAAAATCTGGAACTAGTTGTAGTCGCACATCCTGTTCTTCAAGGGGCAAAATCACAGGGTAAATTGCAGCCATTTTTTTTGAGGTTAGATTGAGAAAAATGATCAGATCCACCTCCCGCACTGTTGTCATCTGGTGTCACATCACATCAGTTCCCACCTTCGAAGCCCCGGGGATGCAAATGTGATCCTCTTCCCAGGCCAGTTCCACATCGACGTGCTTCAAATACCAGTCCTGAGAAATGCCGAGGGATGTGTCATTTGAACCATGATCATGTTGGCTGAAGGTTATACCATGATGTTTTTGCCAACGATCTTCAGTGGACATGTTGGTATGTTTTTTCTGTGTTCTTCCAATTCTTGGCAACCAAATGGGTCAGGTCAGAGTAGCTACCAACCCAGAAAGCAGCTAGCCCAGCCAGTGTGGTCCCATTTCTAGGCCATATCGGTGAAACCTCCATCTTACAGTCAGTATGTTTCATGGATTGTCCAGTTGCCTCTCAGAATCTAAGGAAACTACCATCAGCATCCATCAACCAGTCGATCCAAAGGCCACAACCAAGGCATGAACCAAGCATCCATGTCATGGCATTTCAGCCTTTCACGCGCCGCCTTCATCTCTTTCAGCGTCCCAATATGCATCGATTGGGCTTCTGGTTTCACCTGTGCGATGACTGGAATGGCAGTTTCACATGGTGATCGAACAGCAGTCGGAGTGAACCAGTTTCACCACCAAGAAAACGGTTTGGTCATGGGGTACCTGGAGACCTGGGGATGTGAAGCAAGAAGACTTGTTTTAACATCTACTGGCGGTTGAGCCACACATCCCAAGAGTCGCAGTCCACTCATCCTGAAAATTTTCATTCGGTCATTCCGGTCATTCCACAAACGGGGCATGTCTAAAAACTATCAAGCAGATAAGGTGGTGTGTGCGCGTGTATGGGTCCGATTCAAGTCTAAGAAATTCTATCACCGTAATCAGTTTCAAGGTCTGGCGTGCTCTTCTATCTCGATGCATCTGAAAAAACCATGGTTAGAGATTAAAATCCTGATCCTGGTGAATACCAAAGGCAGCCGGCAAACGGGTTTTCAAAAGAAACATGATCCATAGTAATTTTGCAGTGTTGATTCCCATGCCAATCCATGTCCCATTGAAAAGTACTTATTATCATTATCATTAAAGCCGTGGGCCCGAACCTTTCCAGTAGTGCGGCTGAGTCGGCTGATCTTCGGGAGACCGGTTTCCACTGCTATGGACAATCTACGATGATCTACTCTTTGGTCCTCCACTTTCTGAGGGGCATCTACTCTGGGGTCTTGATGATGATCGTTCATTGTGATAGTGAGTTTTTCTCCTTGCAGGATTTGTGTAGCGCTGTCTACGTTGCTCTCGTCAGCAGTTGTCAGAACAACTTCACATCAACTGCGGGCGCCAATGCTTGGTGGACGCGAGCAGAACTTGATTTGGACAAGACCTCTGCAGACACCTGGGCACAGAGTGTGTCACACACGAGTGGCAAAGGACAACCTTGTAGCTGCTACATTCGAATCCTGCTGTCAGCATTGTCACTTTTGGGGCTGCCCTGTTGCCAGGGCTTGTCCTCAAGGGTGATGGCTTCTCGGTGGTGACTTAGCTGTGTGAGCGTGTGCGGACAGCACTTCGCACACAACTTTGTTGTTCAACCATGTGTGGGCAGGGCCTTGTCCCTGCTGACTTCTCATTGGCCACAAGACATGGAAGACAATTGTATGTGGTTGACTTCCAACAAGCACCCAGTCCGAACTGCACAACTTTACTCGCCACTGCCTGTCACTCCTCAGTGCATGAGGCGGCCGGATGCATGTTTCATCAACACGCTGTGCATGATGCTGTGAGCACAAGATCTCAGTTGAGCTACGTTGGAATAAACGACTTTGCCCATGTCTGGCTTGAGCCACTAGGGGCACACTGACTGAATGTTGGCGTGCTCTTCCCTTCATGTTCCATCATTTCGGTCTTTGGCTAGCACCAGTCTAGTTTGGACTTTGGACCTTTTAGATTTTCAAGCGGCTTTTGAAGCAATTGGAACCTAGCCGCTTCCGGCCATATTGTTAACGATTGCCCACACAGCTTATTACGTATTCATGGAAGGCTGTCGAAGGCAAACTCCTTTGGCAGCCCTTGAGGTGTGTGTAAAGCAAGTTGTCTGGAGACCCGACTCTGTCGGCATGACCCCTGTGCTGCGCCGCACTGCTCACGCCGTGCGCGCACCACGCATCTCCCAATCCGCGCCACGGCGCCACGGCGCCACGCCTTGTAGAAGGATTTCCGGTGCCCATCCAGCCACACTTCTGCCAACCTGTGATAACCCCAGGGACCGGGGATCTGATGTTCAGCAAGGTTAACCCACTTGATTTGGTTTTTGTGGTGCCAAAGCCAAAATCAAATAGATGGCCTGTAAAACAGGGGGAATATCTTCTTTCTGGATGTCTTGAAACCACTGAACCACTGAACCGATTGGGATGATTGACGTCCAATACAGGCTTGAAATACACTGGTGCCAGATCTGTTGTCTGTGATGTCGTTGGATGTTCCCCCGTGGTTGGACTCCCAGTCAAAAAACATTGGCTGACATTTTTGGAAATAGCTACAGGATGCTACAGGTATTGACGGTATTGACTGTATTCATCACACTATAGCTATTTCCAAAAATGTGAGGTTTCCATAATCTGGTCATGTTTCTGATCCAAGGCACCGTTTGTAGTTTCTGACCTAAACAGCAGAGGTACCCCCCGTGATGCGGGAAGAATTCTGTACAGGAATCTGACCACAGTGTCATTCGTGGGTTTTGCAACTTTTTATTGATTGGAGGCAGTTGATGTCTGACGTTGTTCACATACCTTGCTCTACAAATAGGATGGATGATTCCCAATTGACGACACTCTCCGATGGATTGATTTATGATCTATGCTATGGTTTGACAGATTCATGACTCTTGACCGTCATAACCCTTCATGTGTAGGTTCGCATGTATGGAGAAATTCCTGGACCCTTTCACTTGCCATTTCTATCTCTTACATTTGTTTTTACCTTTGGAACACTTCTTCATGTTGATCTGTTTCACTGCGAAGTAGTCCTGTTTTCCACTGCAGAGATACAGAGGGCAAATCAGAAGACAAATGGAGCAAACACAGGGTATCGCTTAAACTTGGAGGTCAAAAACCAAATCCTCAAGATCACCATATCTCTTGGGTCAGAACACCATTTTTGGCTCATGTCTTCAATTTTGCAGCTTAAGTTTTGAAATCCCCAACCTTGGCAACAAGATGTTTGCGTGTTTGATTCTCGAATCCCAAACATCGTTGATTGTCGATTGATGTGGATATATGTCAACAAATCATAATAGACTCAAAATATAATGATCAAAAAATTATCCTCGGATAGATAATCCCAATATCATTATGCTTTAGTCCCCATGTTCAGCAGTTATATCCCCACTTTCAGGTGTTTTGGAAACTGCTCTGTATGCGCCCTCTCTGGGTGCTCCGCACCACGTCTGGCACCTGCACGGTATAAGGTCGATCCTGGCAGTGGGGACTGAAGATGTTCAACAACGACTAAAGACAAAGCATATATGCATCTGCACAAGGATATACTCATCTATGTACAACTGATGTAAACTTCCATAGTACTGTCCTTTAAAAATAAAACAGATACAACTTGATACAACTCACAAAACAGATAAATATTACAGTAATACCCAAATAGTTGGGGGGATGCAACATATCAACAAGTGGGAGAGACGAGACAGTGTCTGGTAGGTGTTGTGGCCTTATCAGAACAATCATCACTGAGATATTTCAATCCCAACGTTCATGCATTACTACTCTACAGCTCAGTGAAAATTCATCAATCATCAATCCAAATGTTCTCATATATATATATAATGTATGTATATATATATATGTGTATATATATATATATATGTGTATATATATATATATGTATGGGATATCTGATTCATATTGATTCACCATGCGAGTTCCGTTCGGATCACCGGATCACGGTCTTCACATCGATGCGGCTTTGGTCCCAGTCTCCCACCTTCTCTTCGCGGAACCAATGCCCCACACGGCTGCAGGGATGGATCTCAATGCGACCCCCACAGCGCCACACCTTGTGACTGGCCTCGCGGATGCGGATTGAACATCTGCTTGCTTCATAGAACATCAAAATACTGGAAGAAATCCGTTCATCACCAGTTGATAGATGGTTTATATATCCCATTATTTTGTTTGGGTTTCAACCATCCGTTTGGTGGTGCAGGATTTCGCAACCATCCACAGTATGATAAAATATGCTGATTTACCTCATCAAAATGGTGTCTAAAACGACATTAAATTACCAGAGGGATCCAGAGGGTAACACTGGTTGATGAATTAGGAAAGTTAGCCCCGTTAAACAAGTAGGAAAGACACTCCCAAGTAGTGCTACTTAAATGGTACACCGCAAAAGATCAACAGCCAACGGGGTTTATTTATCTGGGGTTCGCGTAGCTCTCATTTTAGATCCACAGCTCCAATATGCTCTAATCGTTTCATGTAAGTTCGTAGAGCTGCATTTCCTCAACATGAACATGCACTTTTTTTGGAGGCTTAGCCATACTTAGCCACTATTTAACCACAATGTCAAGTGATATTTAATCACAAGTGAACTATCTGGTTTCGCCACTCGGGCCGCGAGTGTGAAAATCGAAAAGGGGATGACCACCAACTAGAATTGTATCCATAAACATGTGAGATGTGTGTATATATAACATACTGTCTACAATATGTTGCATTAATATACAGCACATGCGTATAAAAAAATGATCAATAATACATCTCTATCTACCTATAGAATAATATATAGATATAATTTCCTATATAATATATTAAACTTATTCAACCGGCTGTAGTCATGTCCCAAAATGACCAAAATGCCCATGCTTCGCTGCACCTCCACGTGGTCACCGCCCCAACGAATCAGCTCGGGATCGAAAAATCTCAGCGGAGTGGCTGGTTGGCATTCGATATAATTCGAATTATTTCAATGCGAATTCCAGGATCCTAAAATGGAGGTACTGTACCATATAAGGCCATATTTTGTGGGGATATTCCCTTACATAGGCCTTACATAGGCCTTATATATGGTAGGTACCTCCAATCTAGGATCCTGAAATGGCCATTGATTATTCCTAAACCGAGTCTATCCATGTCCTTTCAGAAAGATTCCTAAACCGCATAATCACGTGTTGGAATTCCGGTCCCTAGTGCCATTTTTCCATCATTTTCCCATCCCTAAATGCCTTGACATCTCTGAATCTGATTCTATGCAAATCTATACAAGAAGTACCATCATTCAATGACTTGCAGAATTACCCCAGCAACTGTCCAGGCCTGTAGTTTCCTGACTCGTCTTCCTCCGGGATTCCTTAACTCACGGATTTACTATAGATGAATTGTCCAAAACCATACGGTTTTCTTCAAAAATAGGGGAATCTCTAATTCCAATTAATTCCAACTAATTCCAATGGATTATCCCATAAACAATAGTCATAAAATCATTTTTATCCAATGGATTATCATCATATGTTCAATAATCAATAGCCATATGGTCAATAGATTTAATATTTAGATTTAATATTTTATGATGATTTACTATCTCATATGGTTATTGTTTATGATGATTGTCATCATTTTTCCCCATAAACAATAGCCATTTTTTAGGCGCGTTCCCCACCAAACACTCTCTGAGTCACTCGAGGTGATCCCACCACTCCTGGCGGATTCGAATGATTACATGATGGTTATTAAAAATAAATTAAATACATATATAATCGTATATAATATTATATAGTCGTATATAATCATATATGATCATTACATATGTATATATATATATACATATGTAATGATCATATATGATTATATACGACTATATAATATTATATACGATTATATATGATTATATGTGATTATATATGATTATATATGAATATATAATGGGATTATAATGTTTATATGTATTTAGGTGTGTCTATCATGGGTGTGTGTTATATGATTTTAGATGTATTAATCATGGCAAATTTGATATAGTATACATAGCGTTATAGTGGTTATATCATCTGTATTCAAGATCCTATATGATGGCAAGATTGATAAATATATATATATATACATATATATCCAACAAAAAAGTTAGATTTATCTATGATGGCAAGATTCATATAGATTTTTTCTAAAGTTTTCCAGGATCTTTCCACTCAATGATGAGTATACTGACTAATTACCCTCCAATAATGAGATCTTTCCACTTATTCAAGGGAGCCATCCCTACTTGGTGGCTCATCCCACTTAGTAAATGGGTTATAACCCCAGTTATAAGTGGATTAACCCTACTTATCCCATCAATAACTGGGGTTATAACCCATTTACTAAGTGGGATGAGCCACCAAGTAACTCTCCCTTTCTCCAGGATCGGATTCCACACCTTGCGAATGGCATAGATCCCCCCTGAGGTCGCCGGTGACGGATATGGTGCTGAGGTGTCAACGTCCTTCCGCAAGGGATTGTCAGCCTCGAGCGCGAGGCGATCGAAGGCGAAAATCGAAGGGGAACCTGGGGAACCAACGTTTGAGCCGTAGAGCAACCCCACAATGGTTGATGTTTTGGGAAAAATAAGTCTTGAATGATGAGGTCACTTCAGATATTCCTCGAAGGGTAGAAGAGAAAACATCGTCAAATTATCACTGGCGATATGCCACATTGGTGGTAATATACTCAGTTGGTAGTCAATAGTTGCAAATATATATATATATATGCATGTTATTAAGCATGTTAATTCTTCAAATCGCGATGTCCCTGATATTCTTTCCCTGCCAAAACGCATCTTACCAGTGACCATTAGCAGTCTTTCTCCGAGCCACAATGAGATTCAGATTCCATTCGAAACGCCAATACAAGAACTGCATCCTCATATAGGTCGTCATGTCCTCCAAATCACGCAATTTTCACACGAAACCGACACAGGATGACACAGGTTTCGGACAGGGTCACTACAACTAATGAGGTTTGAGATCCTCCCATTCGGAGATCAAATGACAAAGCTCCTGTTCGAACTGTTCGAACTGTGTCCAACCTGTCACCCAATTTCCACGATGCGACAAGATGATTCAAGTTGAATTCCGGGTTCTGAATCCTTGTGCTCAAGAGCGTCCCCTTGTTTCAACATTGTTGGCATGGATGTGAAATTGAATGCACCCCACAAATCTTACCTTTTGGAAGACAATTTTCCAGTTGGCCACCCCAACCCCATGCGCTCCTAAAGAGAAGGCCTCCTACAGAGTCTACTAAATGTGAGAAAGGAATAATTAAGCTAAGCTAACAAATCGTTAGGCGCACTACTTAAACCTTCTTTGGCATCACCCTCCCAGTCCGCCCAGTCCAACCGGTCCTTGTTGAGCACATCCAAACTGGGCATCACCAGGGCCTTCGGTTCCTCCTCCAGTCGCGCAAGCAGCGGCTCCAGCCACTGTGGCGTCACCACCACGTGGGGCTCCAGGAACATCAGCACCTTGGAGAAGATTTGGGGAAGAACTCAGATCTAACATCAGTTAATTCCATTGTACATATGTATATATACATATAATATAATATGTATATATATATATGTGTGTGTATTGTATGTAGAATTATACAGATACATCTCCAATAATTATATAATCTGATATGTACGGATATTTTATTATGATATATATATATATATATGTACAGATCATTTACATACCTAGCAATGTAGATGTATGTCGAGAATGTATCCTAACTGGAAAGTATATATGGAATTTGCTTCCCATGGTATTTTTTTGTGTGATTGCTACCCTGCAGTTCTCTCCCTCAGAAATCATGCAGCCACTTACAGGCTAAGGAAATCTGATTCTGCGCTAAGGATTCTCCAGTTTTCCCCAAACAAAATTGGAAAGATACGAAGTTGGTGACAGCTGGTGGGATATCATTTGCAATAGACTTCCAAAATCTGTCAGAAATCCTGAGGCGCAAAATTCATCTCGGTACCCACGTTGAATTTCCCAAGTAAAACAGGTTCGCCAAACATCCAATTTAAGCAAAGCCCAGGTCTGGTTGTCTTAAACTGGCACTTGTTGGTTGGGATAAAAAAAAACACACACACAAGTTATTTAAGGCCCATGGCTGGATTTTTTTCGGGTACCATGGACCCACAAAGTGGCTGATCATTTTCAGGGTCTAAACCAAACTTATGTCGAGGCCAAGGATTTTTAGCCACAGCGATCATTGAATTCTAAAAAGAATAGCACCCCACAGTTGAAATCCTCATGTGTCTTCCAGACAAACCCACATCATGCATTGGTTAAATCCCTGTGATGGATGAAATTTCTCATGTTGCCTCGATTTGCCTCGATTTGCCTCGTTTTTCTTGGCGCGAAAAAAATCATGTCAAATCCCTGTGTCTACCCTCTGGTAAACTAACATAGCTATGGAAAATCACTATGTTTAGTGGGTAAATCCACTATAAATCGCCATTTTCAATAGCTATTTTGACATAACCAGAGGGTAGTAGTTAAATCATAGTCATGTTAAATCAGTGTTAAATCCCCACTTCGGCCGGCGAAAAAATCAGCTTCCCATGAAAATCCAATGAAATCCCCCAGCTCCGATGACCCAAAAAAATGAGTCAAGGCGCAGGAGCAGTGGCGCGAGCCGCCGTTTCCATCTTGGTGACGATCAGCCCTTTGTTCTCCTGGGAGGACCCCCCGGCCAAAAGACTGAGACTTCAGCCAAATTGCTGCTTCAAGCAGGCAAAATGGAAATTTTAACATAGTTCACCTGGAAAAAAATGGGATGCAAACCAAGAAATGGTGGTAAATGACTTGATGTGTTGCTATCTGCAACCGTGAAGAAAAATGTCTTTCAGGTTTTCAACATGGTGAGATGGGATCATCCCATCAACAGGGGTCAACTGGCAGCTACACATGTGGGCTACTGGAAGGTTTCCATCATCCCATCAAAAAAGTGCATGAGAAAAATGTGGATTTTCCCATCCCCCTAATTTAAAAAAACACCCCGTTCAACGAAACCATGGTAAAAAGTAGGGAAAATCCACATCATTGGAACCATTTATGGGATGTTTAATATTAGGGGGATGGGATTATATCCATTTTCTCATCCAGTTCTAAAAAGCACAGCACTCCCACGCCTCGTTCACAATGACCTGTACTTTCTGGTGCATTGCCTGGGCACAAACGAAGAATGCCATAAAACATCCCACACCCTAAAAGGCTGTCTTAATTAACATCATCCAATATTTGGGGTATACCAATGTCACAAGCCCCATCCCACATTATTGGGTTTCCCTCTTCACCACTGAAACAACTGGCCGCTGGAATAGCGTGAAGTTCCTGGCTCGTGTTGCTGGGACATGCCAAACAAATACCACTATGTTATCCCCATGAAAACAACACAAAACAACTAATATATATAATCACCCGCGAACCAAACCATGGAAAAATCAGTTCCCGAAACTTTCCCAAAATGGCATCTGCATCATCTGCATCTTTCATGCTTTCATCTTCAAGATCGATCGGACAAACCCACCGCCTTCAGTTCCCGTTCGAAAATGCCCTGCTGGTCGTTGCCATCTGACACCAAAAGGATCTCCTGCATGGCAAACGCCAAAGAGAACCTGCTAGCTGCTGCTAGCTGCTGCTAGCCAGAAACCAATCTAGTATTGTGAATGCTGGGGTAACCCTGTTCGTTGGCACAATATCATACAACCTCATGATAACATCATGATATGATGATAACATCATCATATGAGTGAAAATGAACAAAAATGATAACATCATCATATGAGTGAAAATGAACGCAAATGAGTGAAAATGAACGAAAATGAGTGAATAAATTTGAATCAACTCTCCTATGTCCTATGTTTGTGGGTCCCCAAGCTCCAAGAAAGACACACCGAGGCGGCTGTGTTTCACCTTGCCCCACTCCTCGATGCGTTGCATGTCGGTGTGGCGTAAAATGCTGCGCAGAGTCATTTGGATTCGGAACCACTCTTCGTGGTAGTAGGGAATAATGATCCTCAGTTGGTCGTATACGATTTATCTTGGTCAGTGGGGGTACCAGCTATATATCATTGGGTTGGTTTGAGGGAAAACCTACAGGAAACCATGGTTTTTTACCTTTAAGTATGGTGGTTTCCCGTAAATTTTACCGTGAACCAATCCAATGAATATAGTTATGGCATCTTATGGTTTTGTGCACACCATAACGTATTCTCATGTGCATGACGATGATGATGATGATTATTATTATTATTTATTTATTATTTATTATTATTATTATTTATTATTACTATTATTATTATTATATATTATTATTGAATTCTGGGTATCAAAACTGTCAAAGATTGTAGAATTGGAAGCAAATATTGGCAGATACTCTTTGGGTTTTCTTTGGGGCATTCATCATCCAGTTGTTGAAACATGTGTACATCAATAGTGGCATGTGGGTGCCTTCAAAGTGGCACCAAGGGCTCTGGGAATCAACAAACCAAACTGTTTCTTCCCTCACCAAAAACAACAAATCCGGCGGCAGCCAAGGCTCGACACCTCAGTGAATGTCATTCCACGCTTCATGCAGATGGAAGACTCCACAGGTGTTTAGAACAGGGAAAGGAAGGGCAACCAGGTTAACCATTGATCTGCCCAAGTACATGTCGTCACCGAATAAATCAACCCTTTGAAGAAACAACATCACTGACATCAACTGACATCATGTACTTCTTTGGTTTCTCCCAGGGCTGAGCTGAGACTCCCGCGCGGTCAGATCCTTGGCTCGACCAGGTTTGCGACCGTGGGTCATGTTTCTGATTTGAACTCATCTAAAATCCTGTTGACCACGCGTAGACCGTAGACATCCGTAGACACAACCCTGCGACGTGAAGCGGAAACATCTGGAAACTACTACCAAATTTGGAAACATAGACGCTCAAGTTCCAACCCCTAGGCATCCCCAGGTCAGACATCCCCAGGAACCTGACAAGATGTCACTTTGTGTTTCGGGGTTCGGAAGACGCATCAGGACATTGGACCCGGGCCTCACCCATCCACCGCAGCTTGATTGCCCAGATGCCAAGGGTGGAAACCCTGACGGGACATTTTCTGGACCAGAGGTCTTTGGGCAGCGAAGGCAGAAACCCTTCATCCTCAGCAGATGGGGCAGGTACAAACAGGAAAGCATTCACATATATATATATATATATATTCAAAAGGAAATTCATAACAAGGCTTCAAAATCTCCCTTCTCAGTTGCTGTTTGGAGTGAGATCGATAAATCCTGCATTGTTTGGAGAATCTGGGCGCACTGTCCCTTGACTTGGTCATATCCCAGAAGTGCCGCACAAGGCGGCGGCGGAAGTTTCAAAGATAGGACGCTATAGGAGAGGTGGCTTGTTGCGATGCATTGATGGCAAAGCGAATCCATTGATGGACCAAAAGTTGGTTGGAGTTGTGCTTTTTGGAGTGGTTGCAGTGGTCACCTCAACCACAACTGCTGGATCTAGTGTGGTGTAGAGTGTAGTGAAAACTATTAATAGTTGTAGTAGCAGTTGCAGTTGTAGTTGTAGGTGTAGTGTAGTGGAGTTGTAGCTGTAGTTGCAGTTGCAGTTGTATTGTAGTGTAGTTGAAGCTGCAGCTGTGGTTGATGTTGTTGTAATTGCAATGTTGTAGTTGTAGTTGTAGCTGTAGAAATTTCCCGTTGTCATCCCTAAATTCCCGAAAGGCATCTCGCTTCGCCGTGCTCCCTTTTGGCCGCTCTTGTTCCTTGCTTTGCCTGCCTCCCTCCCACCGGAAGGCTTTGTGCTCGTCCGGTGGGAGGGTGGCCTGTGCTTCTGTAGTACTTCTGTCCTGCGGCAGGGTATTTTGTTTGGCTGTCTATCGTCTTTTTTAAAAAATTCTCTAACAATGTTTTTTTCGTTCATCGTGTGGATAGTCACAGGGTGGGATGTCAAAGATTCGTAGATTTTTCCATGCTGCATAATTACAAGATGTATATGCATGCATGCATTCGTGCACGGACACATTCTCTATATATATATATATACAAATCTTCATCTTTAGATCAGCGCATGGTATCGCGGACCTGTTCCTGGATTTTGCCGAATCTTTGTCGTAGCGATGGAAATACGAAATCTAGGGTGAGTCAAATCTGCCTATGCCTTTGAAAGTCTTAGCGTATCGTATCTATACGTAGATAAATCAGTGCTGCACATACACATACACACATACACACATACACATACCCCACACCGGTTCCTAAAGTCCTCACAGCGGTCGTGGCTCTGCATCCCTGACGGGTATCCGTGTGGGAATGTGCCAGAGGTCAAGGGATGGGAACTGGGGATGTCGCAAATATAGCAAAATGGAATGGGCAATATCCTGTGATCTATCATTGTGCATTAGATTTTCTTCCGGGATGTAAAGAGGGATGAGCACATTGGAAAAA